TTACACTCTTGTATCTACAGTCGACCAATACAACAAGGCTCCCGTAGTCTATCGGGGAGAAGACTGCGTGGATCGCTTTCTAGCATGCCTCCTTGAGGAAGAAAAACAAATAAGTGAAATTATAAAAACCGTAGTACCAATGATTATAACCGACGATCAAGAACTAGAGTTTCAGCAGGCCAGCGACTGCCATATCTGCGGAKATCTTCTTGGGGCGGATCGTGTTCGCGATCACTGCCACCTGACAGGATTCTACCGAGGGCCCGCACACAACGAMTGCAACCTTAATTACAGGTTTTCTGGTCAGATTCCCGTAGTCCTGCACAACCTCCGCGGCTATGACAGCCACTTAATTCTGCAAGGGCTGGGCAAACTTTCCTCTGAAAAGCTGAGTTGCATTGCCAACAATTCTGAAAAATACATCTCCTTCTCCGTTGGCAACTTGGTCTTTATTGAYTCTCTTCAATTCTTGAACAGCTCCCTGGAACGGCTTGTAACCAACCTAGCTAAAGAGGGAGAGGAAAAATTCRAAATCTTAAAAAAGTATGTGGACGATGACAAAGTACCTCTTCTACTCAGGAAAGGTGTTTATCCTTATGAGTACATGGGCAGCTTTGAACGGTTTGAAGAACCTGAACTGCCCTCCAGAGACCACTTCTTCAGTTCCTTGACTGGCAGTACCATCTCGGACGAAGACTACCAACACKCACAGCAGGTGTTTCAAACCTTTCAATGTCGTCACCTTGGAGACTACCACGACCTCTATCTTACATCAGACGTGCTGTTGCTGGCAGACGTTTTTGAAAATTTTCGTGATCTTTGTCTGGAGTACTACGAACTCGACCCTGCTCATTTCTACACCTCTCCTGGCCTCTCGTGGAGTGCCTGTTTAAAGATGACTGGGGTAACTTTAGAACTTCTTCAGGAYATCGATATGTATCTGTTTGTAGAGGAAGGGCTTCGGGGTGGCATCTCCATGATCACGCATCGGTATGCCAAAGCCAACAATCCCTGYGTTCCCAACTACGATCCTTCTGAGCCTAACAACTACCTAATGTACCTGGACGCCAATAACTTGTATGGCTGGGCCATGTCGCAGTCTCTGCCTGTGGAGAATTTTGCTTGGTGTACACCGCAGGAGATAGAAGAACTCCGCGATAACCTGATGACGGTCCCTGCAGATGGGACCGAGGGATACATCTTAGAAGTAGACCTCGACTACCCTGACCATCTCCATAACCTCCACAACGACTACCCTCTGGCTCCGGAAAAACTTAAAGTTCCTGAAAACTGGCTCTCGCCCTATTGTCACGATGTCTTGGACCAATTGCAAATGAATTACCGCCCGACTGAAAAACTCGTTCCCAACCTGCACAACAAAAAGAACTACATCTTGCACTACCGAAATCTTCAACTCTACCTCTCCTTGGGCCTCAGACTCACTAAAATCCACCGCGTCTTAACCTTCGACCAATCGCCTTGGCTGAAGAATTATATCGACTTCAACACCGAAAAAAGAAAAATGGCCCGCAACAATTTTGAAAAAGACTTTTTTAAGTTAATGAATAATTCCGTATTTGGCAAGACGATGGAGAATCTGCGAAAACGTGTAAATATCAA